CAGTAATTTGAGATATCTATCTTTTAATTTTTTGCTAAACATAACATATACTAGTTTGTTCATTCATCTTGCGGCTAATCAATTTCTTATCTTTGTATGAATTTGATTGAAGGTGCTCCAATTACGCTCGCATGCAGAAGCTGAACAAGTTAGGCAAAAAACTTTAACTACAAATGTTTTTAGTTCATGATCATCATGTCAAAATTAAGCCCAACGACGTTCTACATTAAAATGAAAACTATATTAAGTAGGAAGCTTGGACATAAATACTAAAAATTAAAAGTATAAATGTACTCTTGAAAGGAAAGAAAGTTTGTCGCCTTCGCTGTGATGGGAGATCATCTCGCTCAGAACTGTACTTCACACAAACGAAGTCGGAGCAGAACTTGAAACGGAAGAAAGTTCCTCACCTTTGCTGTGACGGGACTCCTTCAGAACTCTACTTTACACGAAGAAAGAGAAGACGAAGCAGAGGTTGAAACAAAGAATGGTTGTTACATTCGACAACAATTTTGTTGCCGAAGGAGGCGTAGAGACTCGATAGGAGTGTTGTTGACAAAAGACGAAGCAGACGCCGCAAAACTTTATTTCAGCCGAAGTCGAAATAAAGCTACGCACTAAAACATATTATACTTGTAGATTCGTGCGAGTTTAAGGAAATAAATAATTAAATGAATGAGGCAGTGCCTCAAATAGCTTCGAGGCATTTCGCCTTAAAACGTATGCCTTGTCCAAAAAAATCGTAAGTCTCACTAACGGTTGAGGCTTACGCCTCCATGCGCGTAAGTTTCACCTTGAATCGAAGCGCGCCTCAAGACGGACGCCTCTAACATCTTTTTAATGATCGGTTCTCACAAACACAATTATGTGCTTCTTTGCATTTTATGGAGTCATTCAAGGGGTTTCTCTTGTATCTTAATTATTTTATCCTCTATATTCAACATGTATAGATTGGCAATTCTATTAAAGATTTGTGGCCTATGGAAAGAATAATCTTTGCCACTATCATATTAAGAGCTATTATCAACTCTATCATCAGATTTCCTTTATGCTAAATGCTTTAGTATGATTATTTTATTCATATAAGCACAAATTTCTACCTTCACTTTTTCAAATATTAAATTTTTTAATTAAATTAAAATTTAAACCTAAGTACAATTTTGAATCGTTGAGCAGTTAATTTTAAATTAAAATTTAAACTTTAATTTTATTTAGTTAATAACTTAATTAATGATTGCAATAAATCCAAAATTTAATAAAATGCATTAAAAAATATAGAACGATTTTCATGCTATACAAACCTAGTACAACACATACCAACTAAATTCCAAACTCCTAAAACTAAAGAAAACACTAAAACACAGAAAATTAGTATTAAAAAAAAAGGAAAAACTGGTACTAAAAGAAAACTAGTAGAAAGTGATAGCACTATAAGTAAAACTATTACTGTAGGCAAGACTAGTGCTGAAACAAACAAGTAAAGCTACTACTGCAAGTCATAAGTTACTGTAAAAAAGACACTAATACAGGTGTCGAGATAGTAAAAAGTACCAAACTAAATATCTACTGATAAAGCTCCTCTAAACTAAATCTCCCCTAACCCAAATTTTAGTTGGCAACCTCTAATAGAGGCCGTAAGACCCGCCATACATGGTACTTCTAATAGAAGAAATAAGACCCACACGTTAGGAAAATTTTTCAATTAAAAGTAGCTTAAACCTATATCTCACCAAACGGGTTACTTCTCAGCAAAGCTGTAAGACTCGCATGCTAGGGAAACTTCTAAGTGAACAACCATAAACCTTAAACCTACAGACTACGTTCAATGGAAGTCGTAAGACCTGCTATATGGGCTACATTCAATGAAAACAGTAAGACCTGACTTCTCAAACTCACAGGTTACTTATAACCTTTTTCATACCTAAACCTATGGGCTACTTCTAATAGAAGCCGTAAGACCCATTTCATGAACAAAACCTACTAACTACTTCTAAGGGAAGCCGTAAGACCTATAATATGGACTACTTTCAATGAAAGCCATAAACCCTGACCCAAATCCAAACTACGGATGACTCCTAAACGGAGCCGCAAGACACAATCTAAATCTAAACTACGGGAAACTCCCAAGTGGAGCCACATCAATCTACATCTAATCACTTTAGTTTACTTGGGATCCCTGAGAGGAGGCAACCCATGTTTATTAATCAGATTCCCTAGACGCTGCAATCAATGATTGCTAGTATTTGTAGACCGAAACCTATATCTGGGATGATAGAATCATGGGATTTTGATCGGGTCAATCTCCATCCCCCACAACCAAAATTTAAACTGTTGCACATCTAAACATTAATGCATCCTTAATCGAGAGTTCTCTTCTACGTGTTAGGAAGGATAATTAATTATGAGGGCTTGCCCTCGTAGGATGTAAGGACCCTGATCTAAATAAACTCTGATACCACTCTTAGGAGAAATCTAATTAACTACAATTTGTCTCAAGGAGAATGGGATCCTCTGGCTGCAAAGCGAGATTCATTTGTGCCACAAGCACCATCTCTCTTTTGAGCGAGAAACACTATTTTGCTTCCTATTGTAGCTTTGTAGCTAGATAGGAGATTGTTGAAATCAACATTTGCATTTTTTCTTTTTTGCCAAATTCCTTGATTTCATGATATTTTTGAGTTTGAATCTTTTTTTTTTTTGTTCTGAATTCCTCTCAAATTTGTTTGTTGATTGATTTGAGTTCTTTTAAGTATGGTGCAATTGTTGATAATAGTTTTTGGGAAAACTTTCTTTTTGCACCAACTAGAGGCTTGAATCTTTTTGGTGACTTCATTTTTTATATTGCCATTTGCATGTGTGCTTGAGATTTGGTCAAATCTCCGGCAATCTAAACTTTTTATTGCGGTGTGAATCTTAGTCATCATATGGTTCTAGTTAATCTCATATTTCATGCAAAATTTTGTTTATTTGATCATTATCATTTGGAACAAATTTTTAATGTTTTATGCTTTTCACCAAATGAGAACCTTTTTGTGAAAATTAAAGTTGGTGGATTCCGAATTTGACTTTTGTATGTGTTCTTTTGATCTTCCCATACTAGATTTGTATTGGTAAACTCTACAACATACTATGTTAAATTCAATAAAATGTAATAAACAAATTCTGCTATTTCGTTAACACAAGAAAGAGGTTTTTCTTTCAGCCAACTATTGTTTTGCAGATGCTGTCAAAGATATGTTAGCATTTGCTTCTTTGGTCCATTTATGTTTAATTTTTAAGTTAATCGGAATATGGAATGGAGTTATTCACTTGTGAGGATAATTGTGATCGACTGGTAGAATGGTTGAGGTAGTCGTGATTCTACAAGAAGTGTTTTTTGTTTTCTCCAAGTATTCGTGTTATGTATGTTTCCTGAAGGTGGCAGTAGATGGAAAGTAATAAATCCTGCTAATATAATGAGATTATGAATTAAAAGATTTCTTTTTTCAGTCAAAGGTGAAATTCTGCAACTTAAAGCCTAAATGAGTGCATTGTTGTTAAATGCATCTTATGTTGTTTAGACTGTCTACATAGCTTCAGTATTACTTGTTAAACCATTACCAAGAGGATGTGTAGAAATTACACAGAGTAATAACGTTTCTGATCTAAAAGTTAATTCTATAATTTGTTCTAAAAAATGTCTCTGATCTGCCTTCATCTGATTTTGTTCTTTTCACGGTTGATAATAACTGAAAGATTTTGAGATGCTAGGATTCTTTCCTGTAATAGTTGTCCTTTTGAGGTTGATGAGCTAGTTCTTATGAAAAAAAGAGTAGGAATGGAGTGCTATCAATTTAATTTTCGTTAGTAACTTGAGACGGTTGATACCTTAGTCTGAATCGTTGATAAATTGTGTCATTGTGTGGCAAGACAACCTCTAAACTATTAGCATCAAAACCTTTTTTCAACTGGTTAATGAAATATATGATGCTTATTCTTCAATACATGTGCAACGAAAGTTTACCAATATCGAAAAAGTATAATTTCTCAATTACTTCTTTTTGAAACCTATACTTAAAAAAGATGTTCTGGCGTTCATGTTTAAATAAAAAGCTTACGATGCTACAAAGATTTAGATTCCAAATCAAGGCAATAAATTTCATACATGTTAAATAACTATTTTTGTTTTCAAACGATGTATTTGCATTTATGGTTTATGTGGACTAAGCCCTTTTTTAACTTTCAAGGGCTAATACCTTTTTTTAATACTTTAAGGGTATGATCAGCACTAGCCTTATCTGACCTATTAGGGATCATTTTTAAAATTCTTATTCTGTAGTCATTTATGTTGTGTTGTGTTAGGTGTTAAATTTATTTTATGCAAATCTTATTGCATAATTTTATCCTAGTCTATCCTTTTCTTTTTGAATCCTTCCATGTTAATTTACTTCTTAATTTTATTGCTGCATATTCTTTCATTTAGTATAGATTTTCAAATAATCTAAATTTAATTTTTTACTAGCTTATCTCAGTAGATATTAGCCATTCCTCTAAAATAATCATTTATTAATCTATCTGATGTTGTATAAGACATGCATCAATACTATTGTAGATTATTTTTAAATTATTCTAATATTTTTGGTTGTTCCGTATATGAAGATAAATTGGATTTTGTATGCATGTTCGTGCGTATGCACATAAATAAATATCAAAGTGTCTGATAACCTGTATGAAGATGTGTATTAAATATGTTATTTTTGCTGACTAGTTAAAAGCCTATTTTGCCTGCCTTCTAAGGTTTTGAATTAAGCTGTGAATTATTGCACATATATATTAAATCATTAAGCAGAATATCCGTCAGAATTTCTGTCTCTGATGATTTCATGCATTTATATCTGAACTTATTCTGGTCAAGGCGCCCTTTCTCTCATCACATACAATTTATTGTTCTCATAAGATCCTATTTTTCAAGTACTTTTAAATCTTAGTTATTCATTTCAATAAGATTTGACTCATACCAGAAGATCAATCAAGTGCTGCTGCAACACAAGTTGAGAGAGAGGAAGTGGACTCCCGATCAATCTATGTAGGCAATGTGAGTTTTTTAAATCTGTCCTTTGTCTCATTATCTTTTTGGTGCAAATTTACGCATGATTATTATTATTTTTATTTGACAATAAGTGAGCTTGCTGAAGTTATTTAAGTTTACAGAGGATTATGTCATTTTTTGAGAACTCAAATGAGGGGCATATTTCTGTAATTCTTGCGTGCATGAAGGGATGCACACATGCATGAATTAGTCAATTCATATGTCACGCAAGTAATTAGAAGAATTTTTCCAGAAGGAAAGAGTTAAAGAGTGGATTTGCCAATATGCATTTAACTCCCTTTGTCGGCTTGACATTCTGCAATAATTTACAATTTCTGTAGCGTGCTTTACCTTTCAGCATTACTTACTACTTTTGCACCTCATGCCACCACACTAACAGCCAAACCCCTTCATGATTAGAGTTATTGGTGAGGGAGAACGTAGAACCACAAAGCTTTATTGCCTTATATTAATGTTGTAACAAATAAAGCTGAAAGCATGAGTATGGAACTAAGCCTGTCTCTTGTAGCTTAAGAACTTTGAGAAATAAGTGAGAGAGACAGTGTGGTGTGCTTGAAGGTTGTTTTCTAATGTCTAATATGAAAATGGGATTAAAGGGTTGATAAATAGAAGATATAAGTGGTTCTACCTCTTGATATATAACAGCTCTTATCATACTTTATGGCCAATACTTCAGCACTTTTTGAGATCACTACTGCATTGTGCATTCAATCTCACCATTGAGGCATACAAAATTCGATCGAACAGCAACCATTCACTGGTTCTATTTTCTGCATCTTTACCCAGCTTTGTATATATGCTGTAACAGAGTACTTTTACGGTTTGAGAGATGAACTTTATGGTTACAGAATTAGTATTGCTTGAACTGCTATCTTTTCAATCATTCTTCACCTTAATGTTATTCGGAATTTTCTACTTTTCTGCTGCTTGGTTTGTTAATTGCAATATGGCATCCGAATTCTTCTCCCAGGCAACCGAGTTTATCATCTGCAGCGAGACTTCTATTCTCTGTTCTTCAAAATGAATTCCTCTTCTTCCTACTGATAATTATCTTTTTCAACCTGAATCACCTCTTAAAATGAGTGAGACTACTATACCCTCTCAACTCAATCTCTCATGACAAATGTTAAAACTATTCTCAATATTCAACTCAATATTGATAATTATCTCTTTTGGGAATCTCAACTTCTGGAATTGTTCAAAGCAAGGTTTAAAATTGTGCAATTGGGTATTGAGGCATTTTTCTTTTGTGAGACAAGGCGTTTTGAGGCGTAAGCCTCAAAATTCAAAAATTGCGTACAATGAAAATAAAGGTTAAATTTGATTTTTTATATAATACACAAATAATATGTTAAAGAATGATATATTAACTTTCTATTGGATTATGAAATAACAAATTGACATAGATATGAAACAAAAATTGCACAAGATGTAAAATGACAAGTGATAAATTGCGTGACATAGAATTGAAATCCAACTATTACATGAACACAATAACATGAAATATAGGAATCACGTAAAAATATCAACATTAAGTTCAACTCTAAATTCCTTCTTTCTTAGTTCTCTACTCATCCACATTCAATTCTTAAAAAAAAGCTTATATAATTGGCAATAACTCAGAAATCATCTGGTCTTTCATTAATGAAGGGATCTTTATTTGAGTCTTCATCATAACAAATTGATCTCTCCCATGTCTCATCCTGTGGAGTTCAATGCCTCTCAATTTATTTCTTCTTTATTTATTTCAATCATCTTTTTCTTTCATAAATATTTGTCATCAATATAAAGATGAGAATAATACTCCAAAATTTTTAGAGGAGGTGGTGGTGGTGGTGTGCGGCTTTCAAGTGGTTTTCGTCGGTGGCTATGATGGTGGTGGCTATGACCAAGGTGGTGGGCTAAAGGTCGAGGCTGTTGAGAGGAAGTTGTTGCAGCATTGGGGTGCATGAAGGCATGATTTGTTAGGGGCTGTAATTTAGGATTTAGGTAAGTTTTAATTAAAAAATATATAAATCAGTTGATGCCTATGCCTCACGCTAGTAAGGTGAGGCACGCCTCAAGGCGGGCCTCAGTTAAGCTAAGGCGTAAGCCTCATAAAAAAAGCTCAAGGCGTAAGAATCGAGTCGTTTTTCACTGGAATTACGCTGAGGTGGGCCTTAAAGCGAGCCTCATATTGCGCAATTTTAAACAATGGTTCAAAGCAAATGTTTGCTGTTTTTCTTGTTGGTTCTACACCCAAACCACCTATGCAAATCTTCAATGATGCTATTGAAATAGTAACATATCCTCATTATAACATATGGATGCTTGTGGATCAAAATTTGGCATCTATCATCTACTCTACAATCTCACAAAACTTGCTACCGTATATTTTAAATTTGGATTCATGTGCTGAAATTTGGCAAACCATAGAGCGTCGTCTTCAGTTCACCAACTGCTTTCTTCAGCTAAAAAATGGCCTGCATCATATTTATATGAAAGACAAATTTATGATGCTATATTTCTCAAGTAGTAATTCTAAATGTGATGCAATGGCTAGCTGAGGTTCTTCTTTAGATTTTTAGGATATTATTCTATATGCCCTCAATGGTTTGCAGCCCTCATATCAAGTCTTCAAGATATCCATTTGAACTATTCTTCAACCTATCAACATAGAGGATTTTTATGAACTTGTCTGTAGTGAAGAATTTAATATTGCTGTTAAAGAAGCTCATGATTCAGCTCCCATTTTAGTTGGCCGCAAATGTCATTTACAGCCAGTCATGGCCAAGGATGATTCCGTCCGCCTATTCCGAATTTTTCTTGAGGTCGCCAGTGGTGTTCTACTTATTCAAAATATGGCTGAGGTTTTGCTTCAAAACTTAGCTTCACGTGGTAAACGATCTTTCTCATCATATGTGGAATGCCATATATGTAGCAAAATAGGTCATTTGGCTTTACATTGCTGGCGCCACATCAATCTGTCTTACTGCTCAAATTCAAATGCTATGCTTGCAAATGATGTTTAGGTTTCTATTGATTGGATCTTGGTCTCCAATGCAACCTCTCATTTAACAATTGATGCTGCTAAAATTCATAATGTCGAGCCTATAATGGATCACAACAGGTGCAAATAGGTAAGGCGAATTACTTCCCATAACACATGCTGGTCATTGAATCCTCCCCACTCCACAATGTAAGCTACTTCTAAAACCTCACTTTCATGTTCCAACCCTTTCTCACAATCTTCTTTCTATTCACAAACTTGTTTTTTATACTTTTTGCCCAATTTCTTTTGATAATTATGGTTATGGTTAGAGGTGTCAAAATCGGGTTGTTGGTCAGGTTTGGATTAAACCTGATATTGCCCTGCTACTGTTTGACACGATTTGAACCCGACCCATGAACCCAGAACACAGCGGGCGCGAGCAAGTTTAGCAGACGCGGGTGCAACATGGGAGAGAGCTTGCACAGGGTATGGGCGGGCGCGGGTCCGGGTGCTGAGTCCGAAGGCGAGCGCAGTAGGCTCACTATGGCCTGTGTTGCGGACTTTGTAGCGAGCGCAAATCGCATTGTAGATTACGGGCGAACGTGAGCGGGGGATCGTGCTATGGTGCAGACGCAAGAGGGTGCAGACTATGGACGGACGCGAGTAGGGGATCGTGCTGCAGTGTAGTGGTGCAGGTGCGACCATGCGAGGTGCGGAGTCCTGAGCGAGGGATCGCGCTGCTGTGCAGAGTGGTTTTCGGGTTAACTGGGCTGATTTTGGGTTTCCGGGTCAACCTGAACCTGACCCAATTTTATAAACGGGTCAAAAACCAAACTCAAATGACCTGTCTGGCAAACGCGTTGACCCGAACTCAGAATTTTTCGGGTCGAGTTTCAAGTCTGGTCAAATATTGACACCCCTTAGGTTTGGTATCAAGGATTCGATGAGCAATTTATCACTTCTTCAAGGTCCATCTCGTCAAGTTCTTTGCAGAATTAAATCCTTTAACTCAACACCACATTTGGTTCTCCTCGCAGCTTCCTTCTGCATTAAACTATGGCATTATCGCTTGGGTCATCTATCTCTTCAAACTCAATCTCAATTGCAATCTGCTATGCTCAGCAGTCCCTCCACATCCAAGACAATGTTACTTTGTACCTCTTGTGCACTTGCTAAAAGTCACAAACTATCATTTTCTACTTCTTTTTCTTGAATTAAAGAACCCTTGTAAAGTTGTAATTAATATATGTAGATTTATGGGGTCCTCCCCAATTTTGTTTGCTTCAGGTTTTAAATACTATGTGATATTTGTAGATGATTTTTCTTGTTATAATTGGGCGTACCCTATGCGAACTAAAGATGAAACAGCTTCAAAATTTTTGCTTTTTAGTTATTTTGTTGAATATCAATTTAATAAAAATATTCAAATTATTTGCTTAGATGGTGATGGTGAATATGTGAATTCTAAACTTTAATCCATAGTTTATCAATTTGGCGTTCAACATCAATGAACATGCCCTTATGCATCACAAATAAATGGTGTTATAGCGAGAAACTTTGATGTATTGTTGAAACTCTTTGAACCTTACTATACCAAAAGAAATATGCTTCATAAATTTTACACAAAGCAGGAATACTAGACTGCAAATCTACTTTGGCTCCTATGCCCACTAGGGGTGTAAAAATAGGTTTTAGGTCGGGTTCGGGTCCAATCTAAAATTGACCAGCATTCAACTGACACAACCAGACCTTTCCTCGACCCGATTAGTAAATGAGTGACAAACCTAGACCGCTTCTAACCCAATTTGACTCGATCCTATCCACTGACTCGGTTGGGCGCATTTGCGTTGGCTAGCTAGTGTGATTGTGCAGGCGAACGAGTGCGACTGTGCGGGCTAGCTCGCAGGGCATAGGGGGAGTAGGTGTGCGGGCAAGACCCGCTTGGGTGAAGGACGGACGAGCGGACGAGCGATGGAAAGATCACGAGGATGACGAACTAGCATGACGAAGGACT